TTATATTTTGGAGGATCCTGGTCTTCTATTATAATGAAACTGAAACTATGTTTTGTAATTCGAATGTGAATAAGATGTTAAACAAGTGTTTTAATATTAAATTGATTATTTAAAATGAAAAATTTTGTCTTAAAAATCACGGTGTTACTAGTTCCCTTGATATTCAGAAGGCGGGGAAACCCGATTGACTCGTCGAGTTCCTAGAGCAACTCATCAAGCCCCCCTTCTTGTTTGCTTGTTGTGATGATTCACCGAATACAGGGACTCCAGGGCTTAGATCTAAAGCCCTAAGGTGTCTAGAAGGATAAATTTTCCAACTTTACCTTCTAGAACTGTTCCAAATGCTCCAAGGCCCATAACAAAGGTTGGAAAACTCCAAAGCTTTGTCATATGGTCCAAAACTCTAGGGATCTGAAATCCCTCCTTTCTAGAAAGGTTTCTACTCCTCAAAACGTTCCAAAGATGGAGGCTTTATGGACATGCATGTCCAATGCATGACCCTAGGTCAAAATGCCTAAAAAAAGAGGGAAATATGCCCTAAAATCCTTGCATGTTGCCTTTGCTCAACCAAAGGCCAAATCTAGCCCACCTTGGGACCATTTTGTTCCGGAGATTCATAAAGTTGCAAAATTTATAAATCCCATGCATGCATTCAACAACATAGGTAGGAAATGAAGAGTAGCTCAAGATCTAGTCATATTCTATGATAAAAATCGAGTCTTGAAGACTTACAACAGTCCACAAGATGATTAAGCTCAAGGATGGGTGCTTGGGTTGCTGGACCTTCTCACTATCTCCATCTTCTTAAGCTTCAAAGGTTACTCTAGCTCACAAAATGGAAGAGAATGGGGATTAGGATTAGCACAGACTTTCTTAGGGTTTGGAGGCTGATGGGAGGTCAGCCCCAAGGCTCTTAAGGAGATTATATATGGTGCAAACCCTAAAATTATGGTTTTATCATTACAGCGCCTACTCTTCGAGTCGACCTTAGAGTGTAGATTCTACAGCCTTGAAATGCCCTCTACTCGATGAGTTGGACTCCCAACTCGCCGAGTCCACACACCAAAACCCTAAATTTTAATTAAATTAAGTAATACCCGAAATAGGTGTTACATTATGATTTGCTTTCGTTTATCTTTTTCAATAGTTGGACTAAGAGATGGTTGTGTACATGTTCTTGAAATCATCCAAGTAAAAGTCGAATTTTTTTTTGTGTAACTAGTGAGTTGTTACAATCTGATGATGAGCAACAACAACATCCACGTGGTAAGAAACACAAATCAAGACCACTTGGTTCACACGGAAGAAAGAATCGGATGGTTTAGGTAGAATTTTGATTTTTCTTAACAAATGTTGGTGAATTGCAATATAAGTACACAAGAGGGTGAAAGAGACGCTTTAAAGCCAACGAAATATACATAACATAGAAGTATAAATGGAGGAAAAATCTGATTTATGTAAGCAAGAAAAGATAGAATATTATACAACATAATAAAAAAGAGTTAATTTTACTAAGCGAAACACAGAGAAAAACAACCTGGGAGGGGTGAGTATTTTTCTATTTTAGATTTTTTTGTTCATAGGGATTATTATATATTTTGGATGTTATGTTGAGGATGAGTATTTTGGGCATAAAAAATCATGTATGTTTGGTGGTGTTGTTGCATTGTTGTTGATTTGTTATGTTATTTATGACATTTTGATGAAAAGGTGTATCAAGAAGTGACCCAAGGAATTGCAAAATCAATTAATAAGTTTGAGTCACAAGTTAATTTAGTGAATTTAGTGAGACTTCTAATCCAATCAACTTCTAAAATGTAACCCAATCAATTCTAACTCAAATAACAACCGGCAAACAATCCAAAATATTTAATGTTTTAATTTAATATTTAAAAAGAAAATATATATCAAATTTAATAATACCCTCAATGTCTCAACACTAAGTGTGGGTCTCGTTTTAACATTTTTCCATATTAAATAAATAGATCCCCTTACCTTACAGATTAGATCACGCAATATAAATAATTAACAAAAATTGAGCTGAATATTTTCGATTTTAATATCTATTAAAGTAAAACACTTTTCAAATAAAAATCAATAAAAAACCGTTGTAATTATGGCGGCATGAGCCATTTCTCTCTTGCATCGCTCATTGTATCTTTTTTTAAAGCATCACCCTCCAAATCTACCTACAAATAGTCATTGCAGCTCTTAGGAGATATCAATTCCCAATTCCTACAAAATTTCAATGAAAATTGAAAGTTTTTCTTGACAACCCATCTATTTAACTAACCCAAATTCCACAATCAGGACTTTAGAATTATACCCATGAAGGAGAGAGGAAAGTCTGTGGAATCAGAGCACAAAAACACCAATTTCTTCTCAAGTTCCAACTATTTCTCATCGTCATTAGATCTTCCATGTAAGAAACACCCGTTTAATTCATCATCTGTTGGAGTCTGTCCATACTGCCTCAAGGAGAAGCTGATGAATCTTGTTTGTTCAGATTGTGGGGAACAGAGGCTCTCATCTTGTTCTTGCTCCGATGTATCTTCATACAGGAACTCATCTTGTAGTATGGGTGTGGGAAGTGTTGGGAGATTGTCGTTTTTCATAGAGAATGAGAAGGGTTGTAATGGTGATGAGAAGAAAACACTATTGTCACACATGAACCAGATCAGCATGATTGAAACGGAGACAGATGATGTTGTTTTTCTCAAGAGGAGCAGTAGTTGTGTTGTTGAGGTCAAGAAAAGCAATAGCTTTTGGAGAATTGGGAAGATTTTTAAGAAGAAGAGAGAGAAAGAGAGGTGTAGTGAGAGAAATAATAGGGGTGGATTTGATCATGCAAGGGAGGTTTGTGTAATGGATGTTTCAAGATCCAGGTCTCTCAGTAGCTTCATGGATGGAAATTTTGGCCATGAGGTTGGAAGCGTGGCTTGTTCAACTGCAAAAGTTTCGGACTTTAATCAATCTGAGTCACGAATGAGTGGTTTTAGAGGTGGATCAATTGATTTCGAAAGTGGGTTTTCTGTAAAAGATTCTGATTTCATTAGAATGGATGATGATGATGATGATGATTCAGAGTTCATTGATTTGAAGATTGACTTATCAGATAAGTCAACTAAAGATGAATCTGTTTTCAAGAAGTATGATCCACCAGAATTAACTTGTGGAGATGGCATGGGGTCATCATCATGTCGAGTTACATTGAATGAGAGAGAGATCGAGAAGGTGAAGAACAACCACACGAAGGCATGGAAAGGGATTTTTAAGCATCATTCTGGGAAGAAAGATCTTATCACATCTTAGAATCTTGATAATGAATCTTGATTCTAAGAATGCCAAATATTACATGTAATATGAAAGAGGATCATTTTTATTCTTAGCTTAAGATGTTGGTTTTTTCATTTGATGTAACTACCTACGTATCAGTGAATATGATAACGCTTTCAATGTCTTTAAATATCTTTTTTTAATCTGAAGTTTATGTAATAACAAATGATAGTTTACAAGCTTTCGGATGACTAATTCTAATGTATGGAAGACATTAATAGACACATCAAACATAAGATGGCAAGAATCATGCTTTTGAAAAGTTGCATGGAAGATTGAGTGAATTTGAAGGAAGCAAGTTAAAGTAAGGGATTGGGGCGGGGCTTTTAATGAACTTCAAGATTTGATTGATGCATCTTTGTTAAGAGAACAAATGTCCCGGTGTAAAAACTCGTATAAAAAAAAGTAAAGAGTTTCAATTAAGACCGGCCATTTGTTGAAAATAATGTTTTAATCACTAGATTAACATCGAGTTTAATAGAGATTTAACTTGGAAAGGTTGGTGCAAGTTTATCTAAGATAAGGCAGACACTACAATAAATCTCGTAATTGCCGAAGAAACTTTTACCGGCGACAATGATTTTTAGCGGCGACTTAAGCTTATTATGTCGCCGCTAAAAGTTATTATCGCCGGTAAAAGTGTCACCGACAACGTCTGGAAAACCACGATTCGCATCAAACTGTTCTTTAAAACACTGTCTGTTCGATCTGTCTATGATCCAATGGCAAGGGTCGTCCGTCTCGTTTAATCAATAGCGGTGACAACAATACCTGCGACAATGTTGCGCTAATAGTTGAGAAATAAACCGCAATTTATCCCCTCTTTCGTTGTCGCCGCTATTTCCTAATTGTCACCGCGTCGATATTGCCCGTCGCAGATACACCACAACGACATGTCTTCCTGCTCAGTCTGTTACACTTTAATTTACATATATTAGACTTTAAGATAATTTTGGATTATATTTTCTGATCATATTTATGAATTCGAGTAATCTGGAACACCCGACCCTAAGTATTAAAAAAAAAGTTTACTTATGTTTTATTAATAAAACTATTATTACTTTATGATGGGATAGATCTAGATTTTTGCAATCTATTTTTTTAGAGTTATGCTATAATACCATATTTATCAATATTTTACACCTCTAAAGTCAATCAAATTAAATTTTTAACATTTGATTTACATCATTTTTTAACACAAATTATTATTATTATTATTATTATTATTATTATTATTGTTGTTGTTATTGTTATAAATTTGGGAAAACCTCACAAAAACCTTATGTATTATAAACTAACGCTTAAAAAAACTCTTATATTATCAATTGGTACAATTTAACCATTATTATTTTAGAAACCGTGTAATCTATCTCATTTATCCGGTAACCCTAGGATACCCGTTCTTATTAGTCTACGTGGATTACCTTCATTCTCTTTTAACTTGATATCGGTCATTCTGTAAAAAACGAAACGGAAAAAGGGAAAGCTACGCACAGGAGGGAAAGCTTCTTGGAAGTGGCGGGAAACTTGCTGCTCAATCACACGAAAAAAGGTAATCGATCATTCTTCTATTTCGCTTAATCAGAACATCAGCCCGTCTTTTACCCCTAGTTCTTATTTTTGTTGTTTCCATTGATTCTTCAAGGAAGCTTTAACCAAAAACCATGACTTCAATTTCAAATGTATTATGTGAAGTTTATACGGAGGGTGTGAATGGAACAGATGAAGAAGAATATGTTCCTTCTTTAATGGACAAAACAATATGGGATCCTTTTTTGAATGACTTGGTACAGGGTGAAGTGGAGTTCCCTGAAATATCATCTGATGATGCTGAATTGACCCATTCAGATGAAGAATATGACGAAGGAGAGCATAAAGATCAAGAAATTGGTGACCAATTTCTTGTACACAAACCTAGAATCCCTTGGAACAGAATGGAACCACACTTAGGGGAAAAATACGAATGCCCGGAACAGTTCAAGCTTTGTCTAACAAATTATGCGGTGGTTAATGGATACCAATTGAGATTTGCCAAATGTGATCGTTCTAGGATATTAGTACGTTGTGGCAAAAAAATGATGAGAATAAGTGTCCATTTAGATGTTGGGCGTCTTTGATGGGAAATGAACTAACTTGGCAAGTGAAATCTTTGGAAAAGAAACATGTTTGTGCACGAAAATACAGCCTCGGGTAATTGATAACTCCAAGTTAGATTGCTAACCATTACCTTAGTGACCTAATTCGCAATCCCAAAACGAAAGTCAAAGAAACGAAAGCTGATTTTTTACAAAGATATTCTTTAAAGCTTAGCAAAGGTCAGTGTGAAAGGGCAAGGGCATTAGCATTTACACTAATTGAGGGCAAGTTAACTGATCATTATGCTAGAATATGGGATTACGGTAACGAAGTTTTGCAATCAAACCCAGGAAGCACTGTTGAAATTGGAGTTGATGTTAATCTGGATGCAAAATATTTCAAAAGAATCTACATTTGTTTGAAGGCTTTAAAAGAAGGATGGTTGAAAGGATGTCGTAAGGTGATTGATTTAGATGGATGTTTCTTGAAAGGGAAAGTTAAAGGAGAGTTGCTAGCTGCTATTGGTTGAGAAGGAAACAACCAAATTTACCCCATTGCATGGGCGGTTGTGAATGCAGAAAATAAAGATAATTGGAAGTGGTTCATTGAATTACTACAATCAGATATTGAAACAGTTCAAGAAAATGGACTTACTTTAATATCAGATCAACATAAGGTAATTTTCTACCTAGTAATGCTTATTTTGACCAATATGGATATATGTTAACAACCTTATGTCAAAACAGCCCTTATTGACACTTTTTGGACACTTTTTAACAAATTTTGACATATTTAAAATAACAAAACAACCCTTATGTGAAAACAACCCCTATTGAAATTTTTTGACACCTTTTTAACAAACTTTGACATATGTGAAATGATAAAACAGCCCCTAAGTCATAACAACACCTGTTGATATTTGTTGAGACTTTTTAAAATTGTATCACATATTTAAATGCGTGGTCTTCTTGAAGCCGTAAAGGAGGAGATGCCACATGCTGAGCACCGACAATGTGCCCGTCACATTTGTGCTAATTTTTACAAGCGTTTCAGTGGAGAGATTTATAAAACCTTATTTTTGTGAAGCTGCAAAGTCCACAACAGATCAAGAGTTCAAAAACAATATGGAAAAGATGAAAGAGTTGAACAATCATGCATATGACGATCTCATGAAAAGAAATCCTAAAACATGGTGTAGGGCCTATTTTGAAACAGACAGGGCATGTGAGGCTGTAGAAAATGGAATATCTTAGTCTTTTAACTCTTCAATAATTGGTGCTAGGGGAAAACCTTTAAAAACTATGTTAGAAGAGATTAGACTACATGTGATGGAGACGTTTGATGCAATGATAAGGAATACAAATTCATGGAAAACTATTGTTGCTCCAAACATACTTAAAAAGATGAGAAAATGGCACAAAAACATGAGGTATGGATTGTTTTCCAAATTCGATTGTTTTATAATAAATTTTAAAATAATATACTAACTTTACATATTTGCTAGGAATTGGATTGTTATCCCAAGTGGGTCTCTATTGGAGATTAGAAATGGTTATGAAGGATCTATGGTAGACTTGGAAGTTTGGGCATGCACATGTAGACGATGGGCATTGTCTGGCCTTCCATGTGTACATGCATGTGTGGCTATAAACCATACCCATCAAAATCTTCTTGACTATGTAAGTGATTGGTTCAAGAAGGAAAAGTATCAATTGGCTTATAGCACTTCCATTGTTCCCTTAAATGGAAGAAATTTATGGGTTAAAACTTCATATGATAATTTATTTCCCCCCAAAAGAATGTAGGATGCCAGGAAGGCCTTCTATTAAAAGAAAAAGAGACAAGAATGAAAAACAAACAAAGTATCCAACTGTTTCGAGTAAAGGGAAAATAAAGAAGTGTCACAACTGTTTACAAGAAGGGCACAATGCTAGGACATGCAAGAATGAAAAGATTGTGCCCCTCCTAAGGAAAAGAAGCCTCCCGGTAGGCCTAAAAAACAAACTCTGATGAAAGACCTCCAAGAGGACCATCTGCAGCTACAAGTGGTGGTAGAGGCGGAAAAGGACCAATAGGGGCAAGAGGTAAAATAGGATCATCTGCAGGAATAAGCAGTGGTGGAGGAGGAAGGTCATTTATTGATGAAATCTTTGACTCACCAATGGAAAATGAAGTTATAGACATGTTTGATAATTTTGAGGAAGAACTGCGTAGGGCTAAAATGGAAAGGAGAGAAGGTGAACCTTTGTTGCAATTCCCTGAATCTCAATTTGATGAAGGAGTTCCTATAACTCAAGATGATGGAGTGGCCGAAACTCAATATGTAGTGCCTGAAACTCAATTTGATATTGAAAATGGTAATATATATATATATATATATATATATATATATATATATATATATATATATATATATATATATATATTCTATGCTTATATTAAATTTAATACTTTCATAACTTTTTTGTAGATAATTTGGAAGATCAATCTAATGTGGTTGGCGGGATAGGAATTGATGTACCTGTTATCCATGCAAAGCTCAAACCAAGAAAGCCATCTCAAAGGATTATTTAGAATATTAGATTTAGGAGCTGGAATGGGACAAAACTCTAGTCTTTTGTAATATTTTTGTCACTTGGAATTTAGTATTCCTAGTATTTTGTTATTGAAATGTAATAATATTATATCCCATTAACAGGTTATATTCCTCCTATTTGTTAATGTAGTGTGGTTTTAAAAATGCTAAAAATGTACTTTATGTTCCTCTTTTTCCTCCATAATTGTCATATTTTATGTCTGGTATGGTAAAAGCGTAAACAATCAACAAGGGCAAAATGGTCAATGGCCAAAAATGGTGAATTGAACTATTTCTTATGAACTATTTATGTATGATAAATCATTTTTTTCCGTTTCTGTATTTCCATATCAGGGGTGATAGAGTGTTAAAATAAATATGAGTCAAGAGGGTAAAATGGGGAATGACTTATCAATACTATATTGAAATCATATTTTTTTTCTGTTTCTGTTTTTGTATTTCTTTTTCTGTTTTTGTATGATAAGTCGATTTTTTTTTTGTTTTTGTTATGTTTCTGCATTGGGTGCTGGTGTGTGTGGATTACTCTAATAGTTGTTGGTAAACCAATGTCCGATTAGATAGATACTAACATCGATTGAGGTATTCTTATTATGCTAATGTTGGATAGATAAAAAGAAACAAGCTTTATTCATTAATCATTATTCACAAACGAACAACAAAAGTAGATATGGAACATAACATAACTTGATGCCTTTATCTTCCTTTTTGCCTTAATCTTCCAATTGAATCGAAATGCTTAAATTGTAAAAACAAAACTGGGGAAATGCAGGTAAGTATTGAAACCAAAAAAATGAAATCAACAAAAATAATCTCAATAATGAGATAATATGCGACCAAAAGGGTAAAATCGTCCAACTAATTTGTACCCAAATATAAAATGACATTAGAAACATAAGAAGGGAGTCTAAAACAATCCATATACTCACACATCTATATTCTCTTCATAAAACAAATGAATACACTAGTCTCTTTACAAAGGTGCATAAACCAAACAACATCACCCTAATACATAATGAGCTAATTTACATTAACCTAGTTTCCATATTACATAATTATAATCCAAATGAAGATGCAAACCATAACAATACCAAACATCATCAACCTAACCATGAATACACCAGTCTCTTTTTCTTCAATCAGGTCAAAGTTCATTATTTATTTATTTATTTATTTATTTATTTATTATTTTTTTTTTTGCAGATTCAAATTCTCCTTCTCCAATTCCATATTCTTTTTGGAAAGGATCATATTATCCTTAATCTACATTCTCTCTATGCAAGTCATCCACTTTACTCTTATACCGGTGAAGACCCAAATCCTCATCCACCCACACAAAAAATTTACAATCTTTTGAAGCATCCTACAAAAAAAAATGAAGTATTTGAGTAAGAATTTGAGAAACAATATCAATCTTAAAAGAATATCATATACCAACGAATTAGGGCATCGAATGAAATGTTGGCCTGGGTTCTTCCGGGTCGTTGAAGTCCAAATCTTTGGCTGTTCACCACATTTACATAAAACGTTTTTGTAGTTTGGAGTTAAGGAAGAAGAAGAAGATTCGTACGATCGATCGCCCATTTTTGAAAAAACGAAGTTAAAAGAAGAAGATGAACAAGAACAATATCGTAACTTTGAAGAAGCAGAATAAGATGCGATGCACTTTTTAACCTAGTTTTCTTTGCCTACGTGTCACCCAATGTACAACCATGTCATCTATTTAGATGCCATGACATTTATGCCACCGGTTCCTTAAACTTAACCAGTTACAAATCATCAAAACAATAAATTTCTGAAATAATAATGGTTAAATTGTACTAATTGATAATATAAGGGTTTTTTTTAAGCGTTAGTGTATAATACATAGGGTTTTTGTGAGGTTTTCCCTATAAATTTCACATAAAATTTTATTATTCGGACGACATTATAAATTCGAACGGCTATATAAAATTAGTTTTTAAATAATTTTTATATTTTAATATTAATATTATTATTGTAATTATTGTTATAAATTTCGAACAATATTTTATAAATTGGATATTGTAAATTCAAATGGTTATATAAAATCGGAACAAAAGCAAAATTTATCCCTATTAATTACGGATCAAAACATTCGGCTGCATAAAAAACATTGTATAGTGCTCGACTAAATGTTTCCAATCTGTATAACGCACCACATAATTGTAATACCGTACCAATTAGTATCTGTACTTAATAGGGACAAACTTTGCTTTTGTTCTGATTTTATATAATCGTTCGAATTTATAATATCCGATTTATAAAATGTTGTTCGAAATTTATAATAATAATAATAATAATAATAAAAATAATAATTTTAATATTAAAATATAAAAAGTATTTAAAACCGATTTTATATAGCCGTTCGAATTTATAGTTCCGTCCGAATGTTAAAATTTTGTACGAAATTTATAATAATAATAATAATAATAATAATAATAATAATAAATTAAAAAAGAATTAAAAAAAAAACAGAAAACAAAAAATCAAATACACGGCTATCCGTTATTGCCTAAAGCTTTTTGTGACTTTGATCGTGATATAACATAAATATGATTTGTTGTTGAGTCGTATACGCACAACAGTTTTTTTTCCAAACACGTCAGTTTAATTTTTAAAGTGTTATATAGTACACAATTATATAAAACCTAAATCATTGTCTATGCAAAAAAAATATGTTGTGTAAGTATAACTTTTCAAATAAATAATAAGCATGCATTCATGGTTTTTGATCTTATTATTTTAACTAAATCAATAGTAGAATCTTCATAATAAGTTATTGACCCATCAAAGTTTTTATCGAATCCACTACGACCCTTCATCTGTAGAATCACCAATGGAACAAAAATCGAAAAGCAAGAGTTCATGCCCATGCTCTGAAACAACCCTACACAATCCTATACTCTCTCGACACAGTGGACACGTTCTGTTTCTAAAGCCTAGCCACCTCTCCAAACAAACGTTGTGGAATACATGACCACATCTCAGCTCTTTGATTTCGTCGTCTTCCCTTACTATATTTAAGCAAATAACACATTCCACTTGTTCCATTGACCCTCGGTCAAACCTCATTTGGCTCGATTGGTGTCTTTGTGAGATCTCATGTGGTTGATTTTGAAAAAAGCAAAGGTGTAGAAGGAAACTCCATGCCCATTTCAAGTTCCAGAGAACAAAAACTATGTGGGATTGGACTGTATTCATTAACATGGAGATGGAGATATAAAGAGTTTGCGTGGTCATGTTTTTGGAGAACTTATACAATGAAATTGGTTGTTGTGTTAGTGTATTTATAGGGTGTGAAGATTGTTTTGAAACTTGTTTATTATATCATATTGTAAGTTGTTTGTTAATTATTATTGATTTAAATAACTTGAAGGACCATCTCAACTCAACCAAGTCAAAACTTTTTCTAGCAAGAAACATGAACCAATTCAAATATTTTGTGAAGACAATTTCAAACGAATTAAAGAAACAAGTTTTAATTACATGGAAATGACCATCGAAACCATAAGGGATATTCAAGGGGCGTATTTAGGGAGGACATAGGTCATAAGACCTACCCAAATTCTTAATTTGATTTCCAATATATATAATAGAAAAATTAAGAACTACCTTAAAAAATATAGAGGATTTACTTTAAATTTGTTTTTATTAAATGTCTTAAAACACTATTTTAAAATGAGAAAAATATAAGTTATTAGGGACATTATTTTTAATTATGAGATTGATAAAAAAAATTAACCACTCTTATTCAACACTCTCAAAATATCAATAAATAAGTAAATTGCTCTAATAAAAGAGAAGCCATATGCTTTATCAATGGACTAATAATCAACTAGTTTTTCGTTAAATCGTATGCATTTTTTCAGTTATATTTCAATCGGGTTAGCGTCTGATCTGTTTTATTGATTGAACCGGTTGGTTCAATTTTTTTAAGGTATTCGATCCAACCTGATCCGACCCCTAAAAATGTTGTTGATTTTTTTAATTAGCTTTACTTAATTTGGTAAAGCAAGTGATTATTTGTTCTAAATTCGCATTGGATTTTATCTTCTAGATGGAGATGTTTATTGATTTGTTATATACACGTTGCTTTTGTTTACGTTTTCATTTAAATTAATAGTAAACCAAATAACAAGATGTATTAACTAAAACCAAAAATCCAACTTGAAGATTATTTAGTCAAAAAAAAAAAAAAAAAAAAGGAAGGAAAAAAGAAAAATAACAAGACATTGACGTTTAAACTTTAGAGTACAATTCATTCTAAAAGTTCACATCGTAATTTTAGAGCTGATAATATTATAAAGTTACAACGACGTTTAATAAAATTTTCAGTTTACACACTAATTCTTTGGTTATAGGGGAAGGAAAAGGGCTGGTGGTCGCGTGAAGGAGACGTGGTTGCAGGTTGTAGGAATTGCAAGTTGGTGGGGATGAAGAAAAGTGGCATGAACATTGCTATATGTTTAATAATAATAGCCATTATGAAAAATAACGAAAAATCTATAAAAACTTTTAAGTTTGATCTATTTGTCTATTTCGGGTTCATTAAAATCTGTCGTTTTCATTTTTTCATTTTTTTTATCCTTTTTTTCATGTTTACCTGTTAAAACTAAATTTTCTGTCAAACTTAAGGGATTTAATTATGTAACGTCCTAAATTTTAAAGAAAAATTTTCATTTAATTTAAAAGCATTTGTTCTAATTACAACTTCAAATATTTGAATAAAGCAATTTGTTTCAAAACAACAATCAGTGTAAAAAAGGCTACCTAAAAGAACTATACTACTCTCGGGTTAAGTACATACCAATTGTAGTTATAGGCTTAGACACCTAATCCAACACTCCTGAGCCCTCGATATCATATCCTCCAGTGTTTTGCAGCTGGATCAGCTCACAAACTGCCGAATGTCACTCTTCAACATCTCATGATACCGGGACTTTTTCATCTCCTCATCCGCCACATATTGCGGAACAAGAAGAGCCCTCTCCCTAAACAAGGGGGTGATCTCAGTTACCGTCTCAATCGTCTGCTGGAGATCCTGGAACTCCCGCGAAAGCCGCTGCACCTCATTTACAGGTGCGAACTCAGCCCTGAACCTCACCGTGAAGTCACTCCACGTCATAATATCAAGGGCAGCATCACCAATAGCATGTCCAATCTCCTCCCACCAATCTCGTGCACTGTCCTTAAGGAGGCAGGAAGCAAGACGGTCCTTGTCCCACTCGGGACAGCGGCCGGTGCGAAAGGATTGGCGATATTCGCCAACCACTTGCGGCTAACAATGGGGTCCCTAGCCCCATGGTAGTCTAGAGCCTTACAAACTCGGAACTCCCTGAATGTCAATGTGCGCACACCCATCATGGGCACCATCTCAGCGCGGAATGCACCCAACCTCTCTTCCAAAATCTCCAAAATGCCCTCCTTGAGCATACCAAAGATCACTAGAGTCTGGTCAATGATACTACATGTGATCTCAGATGAATTGAACTCCCTCATCTGATCATCGAGTTGCCCGACCCAGAGCCCGAGCCGGATCCCTCGCCGACACCAGAACTGCCAACTGGTCTAGTGTGTAGCGTCACCATACTGAAAATACACCATAACAATCATCATATTACTCATCATAACTCGAGGGATCATATACACTACAAGTTCCCTAGGTTCATCTCGGCCCTCTTTGACTCGAGTACGCATCCTCTGCTTTCAGTAGTACGGGCCCATACTACCTTCCGCATCTATCCGTACTTTTCTCAAGAATTGTCTTGACTCCACCAAGTCCCTTTCACTACTACTGCTTTCCCCGCTAATCTCATCCTAGGCTTGCGCTAGGGTAATTTGCGACCTAATCTCTACCATTAGCTTCATAAGAATTCCATGTTACCTCTCCCTAACTAGCTCGCAAATACCATTACATATTACTAAGACCAGATAATTTTTTGAACGAGAGGTCTTTCCCTACAACGGTTGGACACAGACAAGAGTTGTGCAATAGGGCTAAACCTAACCTTCTAAAATTATTTAGTCCTTGTAATATGTAACTTAGCATATTCGTTTACTAGTTAGTTAAAGATAGCTAGAACTCCTAAAAGCACAAAGCGAACATCATTCAAGCATTAAGTAATCGAAACCAATAATATTCTAATCAGACCATCATATAACTGACTAATCAGTACTAGTATGCAGTTTAATAAGCTCATACATTAGGCATACAAGGCATCCTTCATAGATGCTTAGTCCTAATCTAGCATGCAGTTCACATATTCACAATCATATCATAACATAAACGTGGATGGGTAATTTGGTAAAACTTACTTGAGCCCGACTGATTGCATGCACTACACTCTATTCTCTTCTAAAATTTCTTTTTTATAAAAATGATTTTCTTTTGAAAACTTTCATACCAAGTCCTCGGTTTGAGTTCAGACACACCCAAGGGTGTACATGAATCCCTCAAAGCAAGGCTCTGATACCAACTTGTAACATCCCAAAATTCATGACCAAAAATTTTATTTTTAATTATTAAATAAAACCATAGTTATCAAAACCTCTCGTCAAAACATAAGTTATAGTATATCAAAACATCATAAACAATATATCCATATCAAAGCATATGTCAAATATATCATAGTAAACATCACAGGCTAAACATCATGGTGTGTGCAATGCAGTCATTCCGAGCTATTCCCTTTGCTACTAGAAGTACCTAAAACCAAAACTGAAAACCGTAAGCACGAAGCCTAGTAAGTTTCCCCAAACTACCACATACCAAAAACATAATCACATATAAACATATCATGGGCCCCGCCCGGCATCGAAAAGAATCCGGCATCGGGCCCCACCCGGCATCGAGCGAGACTCGGTATACAGATAAACATATCAACAATTACATATAGAATAACCACATAACATAAGCATATAAACATTCCTTGGGCCCCGCCCGGCATTAGACTATAATCCGGAAGCATACAAACATTCCTCGAGCATTGCCCGACATCAGACCGTAATCCGGAAGCATACAAATACAGACACATGAAAGAATCATGAAGCCATTAAGCATACAAAGATTCCTCGGGCACCATCCATCATCGGATCGTAATGCAGAAAACATATAATACATCGGGCACCTCCCGACATCGGACCTTAGTCCGAAATACATACAGTCATAAATACTGGCCGGCATTGGTGCCTTCAACCCATTCAAACAGGAGGAAAACTCACCTAAATGCTAAATCTCACGGTAAGGAATCTCTAATGGCTACTCCGACAACTCCCCAAGCTATCATTACCAAATAATAGTTAGTCAAAACCCAATAATCCTTCTTAGGGTAAAATGACCATTTTACCCCTGATCTAATTTGAGCCATGCCTAAAGCCCAAAACCATAACATAAAAGGCCTAATTCTAGATAGCCTTCCTAAGCCTACTAGTGGCCTACCAACAACCCATTTTTCTAAATTAGGACCAACCCCTCTAATGAGTCTTACCCTAGACCCGCAATAAGATATAGTCTAATAAAGCCCAATCTCACGGTAAGGAATCTCTAACAGCTGCTCTGACGACTCCCCAAGCTATCATTACCAAATAAGAGTTAGTCAAAACCCAATAATCCTTCTTGACCATTTTACCCCTGATCTAATTCGGGCCATGCCTAAAGCCCAAAACCATAACATGAAAGGCCCAATTCTAGATAGCCTTCCTAAGCCTACTAGTGGCCCACCAACAACCCAATTTTCTAAATTGGGCCCAACGCCTCTAATTAATCTTACCCTAGACTTGTAACAATATATAGTCCGATAAAGCCCAATTGATGATCCAATAAGGTCCATGGTACTAAAGTCCAAGAAAATGGCCTAAGGAAGCCCATTGCCAAATCGAATGCAAAGTGTTCCCTTATGGAATGTTGGGTGTTCCTCATCAATTTAAATCACCAGTCCTGGCAAAAACGCAGGGCGTTCCGGGGCCTTACGCAGCGCGTTCACGTCCAAAGTTATAAAAAAACATTAAGCACTCAATGCTTAAGCCATACTACCTAAAACCTAGATCCAAGCCATTTAGGACCTCTAGAACTAAAAAGTCACGGACTTGGTGACTTTGCATGCCCCCAAAAGTTCCAATCTCAAGAAATAGAAATAAACTTTCATAAAAATGACATTAACTCATGCATGGGTGGATTTTAACTCTAAAAGTGGCAACTTTATGGTTCTAGGTCCCAAATAGCACTAAGAGTGGCAACTCCA